AGAAGGGCATGCCCATAGGGCATGCCTTTAACCCAAGGCATGCCCTAAGGGCATGCCTAATTTTTAAAGCGTGCCCCAAACCCTAGTAACAGATAATTAAACCCGGTTCCAACCTCTACATCAGAATGCCGTTGCCCACTATTGGTGAAACTGAAGTTGAATTGTTGAATTGGTGAAATCAGTAAACTAATTTCACCAGCATCTCTACTTTAGCGCACCTCCGAAGAAAGAAATTCATCTAAAGTTTTGTAATACTTCGAGTAATAAGAGGAGGTTTGAGCTACGATCTATTATCCGTTTATATAATATACAGTATTAAAATTTATAAAAAGTCTCACTGAAAGGATCTAGTGATACGTATTTACCACTGGAAACTAATATGCTAAACTCTTCCAGTTAGTTCCGGTGATCTAGTAAAACCAATAGAACGTTCCAAGTTATTAATAGCTTGTGAAAATTTTCAGGTAATTCTTTATTATGATAATGAATTTAATCATGACAAAATAGATTCGATTTAAAAAATAATATATATCTAAAAATACTACAGTCAAATTATAATTAGAATCTTTAATTTTATTCGTGTAATATGAAATATATGCATCTTTGTACGTACGTACGTACCTACGTGCGTACATTAACACTTATCGTAGATCATAACCTTTAAAACCCTTATTTTTTGGTGACCTGTCTATACAAAATTTCAGCGTCAAACTAGTGATAAACAGATCACGGGTTTGTTATTTGTCAAAATTCCACCCAAATCTCATTATAATTCCTTATATTGAAGCCAGTGAATCCGAATGTGCAAATAATAAAATTGTTCCTAAGATCCCAAATCCCATAATAAAATTGGACGTACAAATTTATTGATTTACAAATTCGTGTAACATATTATTAAATTAACCCGGTTTAAGGTTAGTTATCGTTATAGTTTAAAATTTTGCAAGGAATACAGAGGTTGAACGAATAAGTAACGGGTAAATAACGGGTAAATAACGGGTAAATACTGAATACAAAATTCCCGATATGTACACTATATGGTACCATATATCGATATCCGAGCATATTAGTAGTATATCGGGTAACTAATGTATAAGCATGGGTACATATAGAGGCGAAATATCAGTAATTTCAGTAATTCCGATATTTTATTCTTAAATATAAGAGTAAGATATTGGGATTGCTGATAGGTTACTAATACTTTGCCCCGTGCCATATCTTACCATTTAGTCTATTAGTATGCTACAGTTATTTGCGGATCTATGGTAACATATAGGGTGCATATTGGGAATTTTGTATTCCGTTATTTACCTGTTATTTATTTATTCGACCTATGATATGGAAATTTCATTTCCACTTAAACACATAGAACCCAGGGTATAACTGATTTATGCCCTGCGATTCTTGATGTGGTGAAGGGTATAATTTTTGTTAGAACCCCAAAAGCTGCTTTATAACATACTCGTGTACATACACATTATACAGTAAATAAAAATTGCCAAAATACAAATAATCAATCAGAATAGAGATTATTTATGAATTTTGTGATTAGCTTAGATTAAAGATTTACTTACAAATAATCAATCAGAATAGAGATTATTTATGAATTTTGTGATTAGCTTAGATTAAAGTTTTAGGGCCAAATGAACTAACCAATTCGGTTAATAATAGTATTCTTGTATGTTTATTCGGCAAGTGTGAGAGTATAACTTATGAATTTATAAATCCACATAAAAACAAATCACATTTTCATTTAGATCATTTGACTCGTGCTAATCTGATCCGTGAGAACGATGGTTTCTAAAATCGTTTCGATAATTTTATTATGGTCTGTGGCTATGGATATCATGGGCAAATGCATTTATGCGATCGAGTCAGTAAAATAATGTTAGTATGGTATGGTTGGGGGTGTTTTTGATAATTGTTACACAATTTATGTACAGTCACGTCTTCGCTTGCGAAACCCAAAAAAAAATCTTTTTTTTTTTTGAATTTGCCAACGAAACGAACTTCTAAAAAGAAAATTTATGAAGTTTAGGATAAGCCATACCCATTTGCAAAATTTTAGGTTACCCTTACAGTATTCTAGCCTAATACGTAATAAGATTTCATTTATTTATGTTACACGATAATTTCATATTGCGGCGATACGTACGTAAAGTCGGAACACCCGTACATAGGATAATTTTTTGAATTTTTAATTTATTTTTATAAAATCCAAAATTAGTGTTAATAAAACATTGGTTTTTTAATATATGAATAAATTTGTCTATATAAATTACATCGGTAATTAAAATTTTAAACTACATAAATAAAAAAAAGTACAATATTAATGGTTGAAATACAGAACTATACACACTGTATATATATCTATCTATATACACTGTATATATATATATATACACTATATATATATATATATACTTACAATTGATAATATAATGATAATAATATAAATACAATACGTATATAGTAGATGGCGAAGAACATTTGATTAATGACGATTAGTAATCATTATCTCTAGTGTCACGTGAATTTCCGCGGAGCCAAGTTCTATTTGTATTAATCAGGAGTATACCGGAGTATACCGGTAATTGGTGTTAACGTCTGCCAGTTTGCCACGTGACAAAAACTTTTAGTAAGATCCTTGCGTATAATTAATTATAAAATGAATCGGCGCATGAACAATATATTAAATGAATCGTCGCATAACAGATAATGAATAGTAAATTAAATTACATTAAATGTATCGTCGCATAATGAATAATAAATTAAATTACAGTATATTTTAATATGAGTAAATAAAATAGTGAAAAGGCCGCATATTACGTATTGATATTATTGGAACTTACAATAATATTAAATTTGATCTGTGATTAAAAACTTTCAAGTATGGTTTGTTATTTTCAAACGATACACATATGCTGTGGCAAGCATAAATTCCACAAACCGTTAACATTTGATATGATCATGAGAAAAATTTATCAGCGGGCGTAATGCAATTGGGCTAACATAACGTCAAGGGTTTTTCCTTAGTTCATCTAGAATTAGAATTCCCTTAAAAGATCTGTGGAAACTATGTTCAGTGCCTAATTTTAAAGGACCCATTGATGCAAAATCGTATGGGTTGTTACTTATTTATGTGCGTAAGGATGATATAATAAAGTACAAACGAATCATAAGCGACTTGTTTTCTCACCCCCAGTTCTGTTTAACCATTTGCATACTTTATACTCTTATGCTTACGTTATTTATTTATGCAGTTTTTCTTTTTCAAGGTTGAAAAGAATATGCAAGGAACAACCAAGCGCGTATCTCAATAAAATTCCTTTTTTTATCCAGGTTAAAAGCATCCATTTTCAACTTAGCGCGACTTTAAATTACTATTTTGGAAAACAATTTATGCAAATAATCCATGGCTCAATTGTAAATCAGACATTAAATCAGGCATTAAGGCTTAGAGATTATTTTTTTAAGCAGTATTGTAGATTAATAATTATGTAAGATCATCTAGAAATGAATAGAATAAAAACTTGTCTAATTTAAAGTTGAATGAGTAAATTCGGAGTTTGATTTTTTAACAAAGAAAAGTTCTAATACAGTAATAGTTCATTATTTTATAAATGAACTTCCTTTGCTGGCGTATAACTTTTTCCGATATTTATTAAATATTATATATAATAATATAAACACGTCATTAAGGAGTTTGTTCTGAGGGTGAATTCTGATACTGATAAATATTGTATATTGCAAATATTGTAAATATTGGTAAGATAAACAAACAAACATTTTCGGTAATGCAATGTCAATTAATAGATGATATCGTGGAGTATGTGACATTTTCTGTCAACCGACAATCCATTTTAAATTCCGAGTTTAAGGAACGCAGGGACTTGTTAATCAAAGCATAATAATCGATTTGCACTCGGAGAGCATAAGTAAAAACACTGTATTATCGTTAGCTTAGACCTATGAGAAGTACATTTGTCAAGTTGAAGATATATATTTGATTTGTCATTACGTACAATGTGTGCGCAATATTAATTACATTCATATTTATGCTTCTAACCTACGTTACGGTAAGTAATCCCTGCTTTTCTTTGTGCATCTTTAACTCTATTAGGAAAAATCTTGTTTTTTTCCAATTGTTTTGCGATGCATACGAATATGTTATATCACGTGCATTAAGGGATTTTAACAAGTTTAAACAAATCCTTGGTGAAAGAAAGAGTGAAGTAAAAAATTTGCTTATCGTTCGGTCATTTGATCAGATGACTCAAGTACGCATGCATAAGTTGAAGAGGATTACTTTTGTGTCTGGATCTCCAAGATAACCAATTATTAGTAATTCAGGTGAAAGAAAAAAACATAAATTGGCCATTTTTAGGTATGCAGTTTTACTGAAAAAGATTACATAAATCTGCAAAAAGAATCTATTGATACGTTATTATTTCAAATTATTGTAATAAAAAACATATTTGTAATCATGTATGTATAAGGTAATAAATTATAAACTTTGAAGCGAAAACAAAAATGTAATAAGAGATTAAAATCAATCGTTTGGTTAATTCGCAAAAAATACGAAATGCAGCATGTGGTTTGTAACGCAAGAACGACTTCGTTGATTATATTTGTGTATATGATGATACATTTAGAGAAACCATTATGCACTGTTAATTATGCTCGTGATGTTATTTTCAAGATAAAATCAAGCAAAATGAAAGAAAAGAATTCTCTCTACAAAAATTTCTTTTCTTTTTTTCTTTTTTTTTTTTTGTTCTCTTCTAAACGACTAAACGAGTTGAAAGATGTCTTATTTATTGTCAAATTGTCATTCTTCTGATTACCACTACACTCATGATATTTCTGACACGGCTTTGGCTACCACGGTTCCTCACTCTACATTTTTATTTATTCAACAGGTCATTAACAGACATATTTCCACAAAAATGCATGATATGATCAATAATACGATTTTTCTCAAACTATATAAACTAATAACGCCACACGTAGATAAGAATTATAGATATTTTCCACCGACTGCTTTCGAAATTTACACGCGTGATACATTCGCGAGATATACCGACAACCTTAACGATCATCAAATAAAGGACAGATTGGTAGATTTATCTGTTCAAATTTGTCGAGAATGGAAATTCGCGTCTGCAGAAACAAAAGAAGTTTACAGAATATTGGAAAGATGTTCTCACATAGTTTATGAATACATGATGAAAATTTCTAGACATGATAATATAGAAAAAAATTCTCACATTTCTTCTATTCTTACATCTAATACGAATCATCTCAGATCAGAGTATAAAAATAAATCTCCCCTTATATCTTTTACTGATCAGACAGATAACAGGACTCTAAGAAAACCTATACCAACTTCAACAAAACAAAGCTCAGTTTCAACTCATGCAAATCATGCAAGTCATGTGAGGCGTCCATCTCATAGACAGCTTATTTCTCACAATTCACCGTATCCCGAAAATCCGGTTTCTTCAAATACTCGAAAGTTAAATCTCTTACTACAAGGAGATTCTCAATTTTCTCCTGAATCTTCAAAACAACTGATCAAGCGCTTTTCATCTACGAATAAATCATTTCATCTTCCAATGGAATCTCAAATTCGACGAGATTCCTTAACAAATATACCAAAAATTTCTTCATACTTTAATTTTAATAATAACCAATCTATTGTAAATCCTCCATTAGTGCAGGTTAGAGAAGCAAAACCTATTCATTTTATTCAAGTATTAGACATGAAAACAAATTTTTTAAACAATGCGTATGATTTAAAGCTAGTTAGATCCATTAATGAGAAACTTGAAATAGATTTACATTGTAAAGTTTCTTATTCTTTGTAGATATGCTTTTAAGTTGGTAGAATTTTTTCATTTATAAAGTTACTAAACTTTTTATTAGCTGATAATGTAAACATATGATATAAAGTTTTTATTTTATTATATTTTATTTCTTTTATAATAAATGTGCTGACCGATACGAAGTTACCGGTGCAGCATTTGTCTCGAATTGTATATGAAGTTTATTATGCGATTGTTAGCAGCTTGGCTCGGCTTGATATTTAATTATTATAAAAGCCGATTGGTGAATAGAGTCGATACATTCCTAGCGATTATTGTGCAAAGTAATTTAGATTCGTAAGCATTAGATATTTCTCTAGACATTCACTAGTAACTTCTTTTTACAAGCTCCAACCCATCAAATATAGTCTGTCGGGACGATAGTCACGATATTTAGGTAGTGATGACTATCACAAAATTATGCGTGCAAAGTGACAGGCAAAAAGTGATAGGAAAGTGACAGGCAAGTGATAGGCAAGTGACAGAAAGTGTCAGGAAAGTGTCAAGTAACTGTAGAAAGGGAATTTTCGGCGTAACAGTTACCTGATGCTCGCTAACATAAGCAAAATAAACATCTCTATAGACAAATGTCATTTTCGTTTCTCTTTTATTTTGGGATTAATAAAGTCTCATGAAAAAATGAATTCATGAGCATGATTCAGAACAATTGTGAACAAATTTAAGGTTAGTTCGTAAAAATAAGTATCATAAGTCGACATTAATAGAAAATCACCGATTATTATTAAATACAAATTTAATTTTTCATATATTGAAAAATAATGCTATATTTGGTTTCATAGTAGAACTTGTTACAGTCGTGTTATCGGGCCATTAAAAAAAAAAAACATACTTTAGAACTTATGCTTATATAAGGCAAACTTTATATATGCTTATACAGAATATGAGTTTACGTACTACATGCAACTTCTACTGTATCGGTATGTTTAGTAATAAAAGGCTTTTTTTTTTGGTGAAGAAATAGATGCATATTCTTATATTTCACACCCCTATTGTAGATAATACTGTACAAATGTATCACAAGCATGATATATACATTCAAATAATAATAATAATAATAATAATAATAATAATAATAATAATAATAATAAATAAATAAAATTAAATAAAATGCTTTTACATTGTTCTTGTATAAATTATATTCAATTAATCCGTTTTTCAAATAAGGTTATATTAATGATAACTACACGTGACTATAACAATGATTCTTTGCTATAAACCTTATTTCAAAAAAAAAAAAAAAAAAAAAAAAAAAAAACGTATATAATCCACACAAGAACACATTCAGAATTTTAAATTGAAAGCCAGGAAACTACTAATGTCCTTTCCATACATTCTTTTAATGACTCCTACCTACCTTCAATACTTTTATTACATTAAATTTCGATAAAAAATTCTTGGTACATACAATTACTTCCTCGTTGTTGCCGAGAACCCATTATAAAAAACGATGTTATTTCATCTCTATTAATTCTCTTAATTATTTTAATTGAATTGATTATTCTGACATATTTCTGGCACGCTTCGATAATGTATATTCTTCTTTATTGTAGCTCAGTAATAATCACAAAATTGTATCGATCGCCTTGATATTACCCGATGAATGCGTAACATTTATTATTCATCACTATTCAACACCTTTTAATCCTTAACTTGCATTATTATTGTGGCATAATAATGAGAAATACATCAACCCTGACATTATCCGAAGAATACGTTTAATTTATTATTTTTGATCATTTAAATCCTTACAACCGTTATTTTTTCCTCGCCTTATTATGTTTTATCTTATTTTTGGTAAGAATATAAATACATCATTTAATTCAAGAAAACGGTTCAAATTTTGTATTAAGCATGTATTAATTATTATATTTATTACAGGGTATCGACACAATTTCGCCAGATATTTACCTTATTTTTTGACATCAATTTATTGTGTTGTGACTCGTTTCACTAAATTCTCTTTTGTTCTTATAAAAAAAAACTTTAATTATTACTGTATGCTATTCTACTTCTTTCACATCGAATTTAAATCTTTGTGCTTATTACGATATTCTTTCATTATTTAGGTCAAAAAGATCTTTATTATTTTTTTTATGCTTTATTATAATTTTTACTAGATCGAGCCAACTTTGTCTCCAAAAATAATTATGTTGATTCGCGTTTACTTATTTTATCCGTTTTTTAATCCCAATGATTACCAATTTATCCTTTTTTTGTGTTCTTTTTTTTTTGTTCATAATTGATTTTTCGAATTTTCTGTTATCCGGATCCGGATATTTTAATTTACTTTGCCTTTATTCTTCGTCAAAACGATATAGACAGATTCGTTATATAGACTCTAAAAAAAAAATAAAATTTCTTCGTCATCATTATGCTCGAATAAATGTGTCGAATATACGTACATATGTGTAACATTGTGGTTCATAAAAATAATTGGTGATGACGTCACGCGAATAACATTCGAGATTTACGATCATGTGATATTCATATTTGGCGGAGCTTCACATTTTTGAATTTTTGATGTATACCCAACGAAGTTTCGGTTTCTAGTTCAACATTTCATAATTGGTAGTAATGAATATTGAATATACTAATCCAATCTCATAGGAAGACATTCATATGATTGGTTAATTTTGTCGATCTACCCGTGATTGCCCGTGATAATTAACCAATCAAA